GGGGCATCTTAGGGCGATCTGGGGGGCCTCTTAGCCCGTCGTGGAGCGTCGGGAGACGGAAGAGGCGAGAAAGCCGAAATGCTTCAAAAACCAATGTGAAATCAGTGATGTTTCTTCGTGGGGCCCTCTTCGGGAGTGCTCCTGGAGGCCTCTTGGGGCGTCTTGCAGGGCTCTTGGGCCATCTGGAGGGGCCGTCGAGGCGTCTTGGAGAGATCGTTCGGCGATTCGGGGCCCTCTTGGGCCTCTTGGGGTGCTCTTGGCCCGTCTGCGGACTTGCTTGAGGCAGGCCCCCGCCCCCGGGGGGGATGGTGTTCTGACTTGGGACCCCCATGCGACCCACCTGGGACCCCCCCGGGAACCCCCTCCCCAGGAGCCCCCCCGGGACCCTGCCGGGATCCCCCCGGCCCCCCCCCCCAGGACCACCCCCCCAGGCCCCCCCCCCCTGGCGGGGAAGGGATGAAAAGGGAAGGGGCTTCCCTTCGAATATATGATGATGTTGTTGAATTTCGCTTTCGCTTTGGCATTTCGCTTTCGCTTTGGCTGGCGCGCTTGAGGAGGAGGACCGAGGAAACGGAGGGGAGGGATCGGCGAAGACGACGACAACGGCGACGGCGACGGCGACGACAACGATGACGACGAGTCAATCGGAGCAGCGTCAACAACCCCTTCGGGAAAGGAAGGGAGGCGCTGACGACGACGGGGACTGCCTCTTCCACACGCAGACAGGTTTTTTTGTTGTTGTTTACCATCCGAACGTTTTCAGCCCTTTCAAAGTGGCTCTCCCGCCTCAGCGTTGGCTACATTTTCCTGATATCAGCTCTTCCAAACGATGCTCCCGCTGTAGCGCTGACCTCATTTTATTTTTCGGCTCTTCCACATCGTGCTCTTGCTGAAGCGTTGGCTTCTTTCCGCGCTTCCAGTCCTTTCGAGTCGTGTTTCCATGGCAGCGCTGGTCTCATGTCCGCGTTTTCGGTCCTTCGAAGTCGTGCCGACGCTGAAGCGCTGATCTCATGTTGTGCTTCCCGCTTTTTACACAGTTCATTTGCATGTCCCGTCTTGTGCCATGTCTGTCTTCCCTCTGACCTCGGTGTCGAAATGAGTCGCGTTCTCGACGCGATACTCTCGGGATCATCGCCCTGAGGTCTACGTAATGGCAATGTCAGCTTGTGATTAACAAATGCGCCCCCCCCCCATGGGGCTGATGAATAGACCCGCGGGGCGCGAAACATGTTTCTTAATCGCGCGCGCCAGGGGGTCGTCGCGGTCACCGCCGAGGGGATCGTGTACCTCCCTGCATGACAGCCTCAAAACCATTGCCTTGTCGAATAGAAGTTGTTATAGGGGCCGTATACATCCGAGGCGAACTTTCTCCCCCTCTCAGGCGTCGTCGTCGTCGTCGACTACAGCGGGGGCCTGCGCAACACCCTCTCTATGCGGCTGGCATCCGCGGTGCGTTGTGGTCGACGGCGACAACGACGACGACGACGACGACGACGACGACGACGACGACGACGACGACGACGACGACGACGACGACGACGACGACAGCGGGCCTGCGCAACCCCCCCCCCATAGGTCATCTGCAGTGTGTCGTCGCCGTCGCCGTCGCCGTCCGTCCACCGTCCGCCGTCCTCCTCGCCCTCGTCCTCGTAGTCCTCGTCGTCCTCCTCGTCTTCATCGTCTTCATCGTCGTCGTCTTTTTCGTCGTCGTCGTCGTCGTCGTCGTCGTCGTTGACTACACCGGGCCTGCTCGTCGTCGTCGTCGTCGCCGTCGTCGTCGTCGACGACTACACACAGACCCCGACAGACGGGGGGAGGAGGACTGCCCGCCTCGGGTCGGACGAAAGGCTGGGGAGTGAACGGGGCTGCGAAGCTGCGCGCAGTAGGTTTCGGTCGCCCCGCCGAGGGGCCGGTCCTCGAGGCACGGCCTCTTTCGGCGCCAGGAGGCGCTCGGAAAATCAGCAGTGTGAAAGCTGCTTGGCAAATCCCCGCTTGGCCACGCCCCCCTTTCATCCAGCCCGCCTTGCTCGCGGGCCCGCGAGGCAGCTGACGCCCCCCTGGCTGCGGATAGAGCAGAGGGGGCGCGTCGGCTTGACAAAAGAAAGGACGGAACAAGTGGGGGCGAGCGCCGACAGCAGTTATTTCTCATTTCGAACAGCTGTCGCCCTGGCTCACGGTCCCTGCTTTCTGCCGCCCTTGCCTCCCGCCCCCCCCCTCCCTCAGTCTGTGCTGTTTCTGTGTCGCCTTCTCGCTGGCGGCTGGGCGTCGGCGCTAATCACCGGCGCCGCCGCCGTTGATTTTCAATCTGGCGGGCGCCATCCCGCGATTTGCCCGCTCAGGGTAATTGTTGACGCTTCGCGAATCCCCACCAGCCCATCCAGAAACGATGCCCAAAGGAATTGCTTGGATCAGGGAAGTGGGCAGCACACAGAGGAAACCATTATGAGACATCTTGGGATATCTAGAGCCATCTTGGAGGTTATTTTGGGTTTTCGCACAGGCGCTCCTGGAATCATCAGAATCAGTGCTCCCCCCAAAAGGCCAACATGTGGCTAAAACCTTCGTGACACTAATGATGTGCATTTTCGCCGACGCCTTTTGGGGCATCTTGTGCGCCTCTGGGGTGTCTCTTGGGGCCCCCTGGGGGCCTTTTGGGGGCGTCTTGGGGGCCTCTTGGGGCCAGCTTGGGGCCATCTTGGGACCTCTTGCAGCCTCCTGGGCGCTTCTTGGGGCCATTTTGGAGGAGATCGATCAAACAAGACGGGGGTATGAATTAGCGTCCCCCCCAGGAAGCCAAAGTGGGGCCAACACCCTAGTACAGCCAATGATGTTGGCTTCTTCGCCGAGGCCGTTTTGGCATCCTCGCCGAGGCCTTTTGGAGCATCTTGGGTGCCTCTGGCGGGTCTCTTGGGGCCTCATGGGGGTCTTTTGGGGGCCTCCTGGGGGCGTCTTGGGGGCCTCTTGGTGACATCTTGGGGCCATCCTGGGGCCTCTTGGGACCTCCCTGGCGCTTCTTAGGGTCATCTTGAAGGAGATCGATCAAACAAGAAGGGAACATTAATTAGGCTTGCCCCCCCAGGCGGCCAAACTGGGGCCAAAACCCTAGTACAACGAATGATGTTGGCTTTCTCGCCGAGGCCTCCTGGAACATTTTAGGTGCCTGTGGGGGGTCTCGTGGGGCCTCTTGGGGGTCTTTTGGGGGCCTCCTGGGGGCCTCCTGGGGGCCTCTTGATGCCATCTTGGGGCCATCGTGGGACCTCTTGGGGCCTCCTGGGCGCTTCTTGGGGCCATCTTGAAAGAGATCTATCAAAGAAGTGCGGAACATTAAGTAGCCTCGCCCCCCCAGGAGGCCAACATGGGCCCAAACCGTAGTAACATCAATGATGTTGGTTTTCTCGCCGAGGCCGTTTTGGACGCCCTGGCACCTCGCGGCCCCTCCCGTCCAGGTCCACGGGGAAGGGGTAAGGGGAGGGGTAAACCCCTCCCCGAAGGGGAAGAAGGAGGGGTGGAAGAGGAAACTCTCTAAACCACCGACGCCCAGAGGGCTGATTGGACTATGTTTCAAAACGCTTGCCCCCCACGGATTGTTAATCACAAGCTGGCATTAAGGGATGGGAGGGAGGGGTAGGGCGTCTGATGCGACGCTTGCGCACCTAGCTTCCCCTATCCTCCTTTCCCTTCTCCTCCTCTCCCTCCTCCTCCTCCTGCTCCTCTTCGTCGGTTCTCCTCTTACTCCTCCCTCCTCCTCTTCCTCCTCCTCCGCAGGCGGACATCCGCAACGGCTAGATTTCAGCATTCGAAACAGTTGATGACTCGGGGACGGACAGGCTTGCTAAGGCAAGCGCGCTTTCCAGTGGCCACGCAGAGGCCGACTTTTTTGTTGTCGAAAAGGCATGTTGGTTTTGGTCAAGCACGTCCTGAAGGTCACTTTTCGGGCCTAACTTTTTTTTCCGAGGGGTGCCGCTATGACAACAAAGTTGCCCAGGGCCAAACGTTGGTGCCCCTAGAGAGAGATGAGCTCGGGGGGGTACCTGCATGAGGCCAGGGCGGGGGAGATGGTTGTTGCTGCTTCTGCGGCCCATGCCCCTTGCCCAGGCGAACCCTGTTTCGCCCCAGCCCCCAGGCAACACACACGAGGCCTTCGGAGTGGAAGACCCCGAGCAGCAGCCCTGGGGAGAGGGGGGCCACTGTCTCCTTGCGTATCCTGTGCTCTCCACGGGGGGGGGCGCCTTTGCTGTTGTGCTCCACGAGCGGAGGGTATGCCACGGTCTCTCCAGGCGCCGGAGGCCTGAGGTCAACTCGTCTGGGTGTCGCTGCGGCGTTTGCAGGGCCAGGCACGGAGAACCGAGGCTCCTTCGCTCGTGGGAAGCACCCTTGGCTCACTCCTGGTTCGGTTGCTCAGGGGCATTTCGGGGGATCCTTCGTGGAGCCAAGGGCCCAGCCTGTAGGGGCCTGCAGCGCGGCAGCCGCGGGCCCGTCGAGGGCAACGGGGCACGATCTGTGCTTGGTTGGTTCCGTCCAAGCGTTTGGCCTGAATGAAGGAGAGGCTCGAGGTTTGGGCAGCCGCGTCAAAGAGAAGGAGCAGGACGACCTGTCCGACTTTGCGTTGGACGGCGATATTTTTTCTCTGAGGAGGCCGTGTCGCTGGCCCACGGTGCGGTCGGCTCAAGGCCGCACCGTGGAGGCAACAAGGTCTTTTCCGAAAGGCCCCCCTGGTGCGGCTGCACCGTCGGACCTCTCTCGCCTCTTATTATCCTTTTGTGGCGTGCGATGATCCTCCTTCTTTTCCTCCTCCTCCTCATCATCATTATTCTCCTTCTCGTCCTCCTCCCTCTCCTCCCTTTTCCCTCTTCGCTCCTCCGCCCCACCCTCTTCCTCCGCCTCGTGTTCGTGCGCCTCGCCCTCGTCGCCGTCCTCGCCCTCGCTCGCGCCTCGCCCTCGCTCGCGCCTCGTCCTCGCTCGCTGGGTTGCTCGCTCGTTCCCCCCCCCCGCGCTTCGAGGTGCCTGGACGCCCCGCTCCTGCCCTGCCTCCTCCTGCTGCAGGTCACCTGCGGCGCCCTCGTGGAGCACACCGAGGCCAGCCTGTGCCTGCGGCTGCGGCGGGCCGAGGCCTCCCTCGGCCGCCTCGCCGAGGACACCCTTCGCCGCCGCCGTCGGTCCCAGCGCTTCGAGGTGCAGTCACGTCGCCGTCGCCGTCACCGTCGCCGTGGTGATGGTCGCCGTCGTCGTCGTCGTCGTCGTCGTCGTCGTGATCGTCGTGATCGTCGTGATCGGCGCCGTCGCCGTCGCCATCGCCGTCTCCGTCATCATCGTCGTCGTCGTCGGCGTCGGCGTCGGCGTCGGCGTCGAAGTCGTCGTCGTCGTCGGCGTCGGCCACGTCCGTGATCGTCGTCGTCGGCGTCGCCGTCGGCGTCGGCGCCAACGATCGACGTCGTCCGTGATCGTCGTCGTCGCCGTCGCCGTCGCTGTCGTCGTCGTCGGCGCCGTTACCGTCGCCGTCATGGTCGTCGTCGTCGGCGTCGCCGTCGCCGTCGTTATCGTCGTCGTCGACGGCGTCGTGACCGTTGCCGTCGCCGTCGCTGTTGCCGTTATCTTTCGTCGTCGTCGGCGTCGGCGTCGTCGTCGGCGTCGGCATCGGCGTCGTCGTGATCGTCGCCGTCACCGTCGCCGTCGCCGTTATCGTCTTCGTCGGCGTCGGTGTCGTCGTCTATGATCGTCGTCGTCCGTGATCGTCGTCGTCGTCGGCGTTGTCGGCGTCGGCGTCGTCGTGACCGTCGCCGTCAGCCGTCAGCCGTCGCCGTCGCCCCCCTCGCCGTGGTGGTGGCCGTCGCCGTCGTCGTCGTCGCCGTCGTCGTTATCGTCAGCGTCGTCGTCGTCGTCGGCGGCGTCCGCATTGGTGTCAACGTCGTCGTTCACGTAGTCGCCGTCGCCGTCGCTGTTGTGATCGTCGTCGTCGTCGGCGTCGTCGTCGTCCGTGATCGTCGTCGTCCGTTGTCGTCGGCGTCGTCGTGGAGTCGGCGTCGTCGTGATCGGCGCCAACGCCAACGCCGTCGCCGTCATCGTCTTCGTTGTCGGCCTCGGCGTCGGCGACGGCGACGGCGTTGGCGTCGTCGTCGCCGTCACCGTCGTTGTGACCGTCGCAGTCGCCAGCGCCGTCGCCGTCGCCGTCGCCGTGGTGGTGGTCGTCGTCGTCGTCCGTGATCGTCGTCGTCTGTGATGGTCGTCGTCATCGTTGCCGTCGCCGTCGCCGTCGTCGTTGTCGTCATCGTCGGCATCGTCGTCGGCGTCGGCATCGTCGTCGGTGTCGTCGTCGTCGTGATCGTCGCCGTCGCCGTGATCGTCTCCGTCGCCGTCGCCGTCATCGTCGTCGTCGCCGTCGACGTCATCCGCGTCGTCGCCGTGATCGTCACCGTCGCCGTCGCCGTCGCCATCGCTATCGCCATCGCCGTGGTGGTAGTGGTGGTCGTCGTCGTCCTCGTCCTCGTCCTCGTCCGTGATCGTCGTCGTCTGTGTTCGTCGTCGTCCGTGATCGTCGTCGTCGGCGTCGGCGTCGGCGTCGGCGTCGGCGTCGGCGTCGGCGTGACCGTCGCCGTCAGCCGTCGCCGTCGCCCCCTCGCCGTGGTGGTGGCCGTCGCCGTCGTCGTCGTCGCCGTCTTCGTTCTCGTCAGCGTCGTCGTCGTCGGCGGCGTCCGCGTCGGTGTCAACGTCGTCGTTGACGTAGTCGTCGTCGCCGTCGCCGTCGTCGTCGTCGTCGCCGTCGCCGTCGCCGTCGCCGTCGCCGACGCCGACGCCGTTGTCGTTGTCGTCGCCGTCGCCGTCGCCGTGACCGTTGCAGTCGCCGTCGCCGCCACGGCCGTCGCCATCATTTCCTAGCATCGCTCGGAGGTGTGCGTTTTTGTCGGCGAGGCCAGCGCCTTCAAATCTGGACCATTTATCAGCATCGCGATTCGCGATTCACTTTGGCAAACACGCACGAAACTGAGAGGCTTCTTTTTTCTCGGGCGGTCACGGGCCTTACCCGGGGGGGGGTGAGGGGGGCGGGGTCCGACAACGTCACGTTTCGCGTGGGCGCCGTCTGGGAATGTCCATGAATAAAGAGCCAAAGACAGCTTGGAGGTCAGCAATTAATCGTGACGTTGACTGGGGGGGGGTGGAGGGGGGCGGCTGGGGATGGTGACAGACGCTATCGCAATGCACGGTTGTTGGACGTCCGAGCGATGGCAAGAGGTGCAGTCACCAGGGGCGGGGGCGTCTGGGGGCCCCAAGATGCAGTCACACGGGGAGGGGTGTTCTGAACTCCCCCCCCTTGCCCGTCTTCTCCCACCCCTTCCCCTGCTCCCTCCCTCCCTTTCCATCTCCCTCCCTCCCTCCCTCCTCATCCCTCCTCTTCCTCTCCTCTCTCCCCCCCATCCTCTCCCCTCTCTCTCTCTCTCTCTTTCTGTCTGTCTCTCTCTCTCTCTCTCTCTCTCTCTCTCTCCCCCAAGCCATGTTGGCTCAAGCCATTTTGGCTTAAGCCATTTTGGCACAAGCCCCGGTGCCATGTCGTTCTGGATAGTCTCAAGAAGTCGTGATGTCCCTCGAAGCGTCGATCAAGAACTGCGGCCTGACAAAACAATGGAGCGCCGCACTGCGGTTGCTCCGCGAAGGAATTCAATGGGGTGTGCAACTCGTCCCAAGCCACTACGTTGCGACTGTCGGCGCATGCAGAAAAGGCGGGCAATGGCAACACGCGTTGTCAGTGCTCAGCGAGATGCGGGAGGTGAAGCTGGAGCCGAATGTCATCTCTTCTACAATGCAGCGATCTTTGTGTGCCAGAAGGTCCTCTGTCTTGAAATACTGGCCGGGCTCTCCAGGCCGCCCTGCTAGTCCCCCGGGCGCTCCGAGACGGCTGCGGGGGTCCAAGGATGCCCCAAGATGGCCCCAAGACACGCCCAGAGAGCCCCAAGAGGCCCAAGCCGGCCCGACAGGTCTCCAAGGTGCTGCGTGAGACCTCCCGGGAAGCTTTCCCAGAGGGCCCCAAGCAGGAAAAAACATTAATATCCCTTGCTTTTTGCAGGGTTTTTGCCGTGCTCGCCTTGTCGGCTTCCTTGCGATCCACGACGGCCTCAGACGTTCCCCAGACGCCTCCAAGACGGCGGAAGAGGCCTCCAAGAGAGCCCCAAGACGGGCCCAGAGGGCCTCAAAGTCGGCTCAACAGTCCCCCAGATGCTGGCCCTGGGCCGCCCAGAGAGGCTCGCAGATACGCCCAGAGAGTCCCAAGAGGCCCCAGCCGGCCCGACAGGTCTGCAAGGTGGTCCGTGAGACCCCCCAGGAAGCTTCCCCAGACGGCCCCGAGCAGGAACAAATATTGATTCATTGTTTTTTCCAAGATTTTTGCCGTGCTCGCCTCTTCTGCTTCCACACGATCCACGACGGCCCAAGACGTTCCCAAGACGCCTCCAAGACGGCCGAAGAGGCCACCAAGAGAGCCCCAAGACGGGCCCAGGGCCTCCAAGTCGGCTCAACAGGCCCCCAGAGACTAACCCCGGGCCGCCCCGGGCCGCCCAGAGAGGCTCGAAGACACGCCAAGAGAGCCCCAAGAGGCCCAAGCCGGCCCGACAGGTCTCCAAGGTGCTGCGTGAGACCTCCCAGGAAGCTTTCCCAGAGGGCCCCGAGCAAGAAAAAACATTGATACCCCTTGCTTTTTGCAGGGTTTTTGCCGTGCTCGCCTTTTCGGCTTCCACACGATCCACGACGGCCCGAGACGTTCCCAAGACGCCTCCGAGACGGCCGAAGACACCACTAAGAGAGCCCCATGACGGGCCCACAGGGCCTCCGAGTCGGCTCAACAGGCCCCCAGTTGGGCCCCAGACGCTCAAGATTGGCCCAAGATTGGCCCAAGCCGGCTCGAGAGGTCTCCAAGGTGCTCCGAGAGTCCTCCCGGGAAGCTTCCCCAGAGGGCCCCGAGTAGGACAAAACATTGATTTTCATTTCTTCTGGCAGGGTTTTGGCGGTGCTCGCTTTCTCCGCTTCCAGGCGATCCACGACCGCCCAAGACGTTCCCAACACGGCTCCCAGGCGGCCGACAAGGGACCCAAAGCGAGCCCCGAGACAGGCCCAGAGTGCCCCAAGTCGGCTCAACAGGCCCCCAGATGTGCCACAGACGCTCGAGATTGGTCCATCATTGGCCCAAACCGGCCCGACAGATCTCCAAGGTTCTCCATGAGACCTCCCGGGATGCTTCCCCAGAGGGCCCCGAGCAAGACGAAGCCTAGATTTGTATTGCTTCTTGCACGGTTTTTGCCGTGCTTGCCTGGTCGGCTTCCACAAGATCCACCGCCGCCCGAGGCGTTCCCAAGACGGCTTCAAGACGGCCGACGACGCCCCTGAGAGAGCCCAAAGACGACCCCACAGGGCCCCAAAGGAGGAGCAGGGTGAGCAGGTATATTGGGGAGGGCGAGGGGCGAAGAAGAGGGGAGGAGGAGCAAGGATGCAAGCGAATATCGCGCGGACGATGACAGAGCGGGAATGAAGACGACGACGGTCTGGCTAGGACGGCGACGATGAGGGCAGCAGCGGAGGCGGCAGCGCTGGGGGGAGAGCAAGACACCAGGCTCAGAGCATCGACGAGAGCCCAAGAGGGCCCCCAAAGGACCCCTCGCAGCCGAGGGGCTGACCGCCATGTCGATAGCCTTTCGGCAGCATTCCCGCCGCTGCCCCGAGAATATTTTCGGCCAGATGTCGTGGACGGAGTCCACGGGTCAGTCCTAGTCTCTTCTACAATGCAGCGATCTTTGCGTGCCAGAAGGTCCTCTGTCTTGAAAGACTGGCCTGGCCCTCTGGGCCGCCCTGCGAGCCCCCAGGCCGCTCCGAGACGGCTCAGAGACGCCCACGAGGGCGCCCGGACAGACCAAGAGGGACCCAACCGAGCCCCAGGTCGGCCCCAGAGGCCTCCAAGGCAGGCCAGGAGGCTCCCAAGGCCGCCCAGGAGGACCCCCAGGAGGGACCCAAGAGGCAACAAGTACCCCACTCCTTTCGGACAACGTATATTTTTTGATATGCTCGCTCTTTTCGTGTTCACCGCGTCCAAGACGGTTTTACAGGCCCCCAGCTCGCCCCAAGACGCCTCCAGAGCACCCCAGGAGGGCCCCCAAACGGCCCGAGGCGGCCCCGGGACGGCTCCAGAGGCGCCCGACACGGCCCAAGACGCACCCAAGACAACCCCAAGAGCAGTTCATAGTAGCCCACGGGACGGCTCCGAGAGGCTCCACGGGGCGCCAAGACGGCCTCAGAGCACCCTTGGGAGCCCCAAGACAGCCCCAGGGGCTCCCAAGGCAGACGAGGAGGCTCCCAAGACGGCCCAGGAGGGCCTCCAGGAGAGCCCCAAAAGGCCCCAATCGGTCCATTCCCGACGGGAAACGCACACTTTCATTATATCTTCTATAGAGGCCCCCCAGCTCGCCCCAAGACGCGTCCAGAGGCCCCAGGAGAGCCCCCAAACGGCCCCACACGGCCCCGGAACCGCTCCAGAGGCACCCGAGACGGCCCAAGGCGCACCCAAGGCAGCTTCAGAGCACCCCTGGGAGCCCCAGGACAGCCTCAGAGGCCCCCATGGCCAGGAGGCCCCCAAGATGGCTGAGAAGGGCCTCCAGGAGAGCCCCAAGAGGCCCAAATCGTCCCATTCCCGACGGGAAACGCCCATATTCACTATATCTTGTTTCTTCGTCCTCGCAGCGCCCAAGACGGCTACTCAGGCCCCCAGCTCGCCCGAAGACGCGCTCAGAGGGCTCCAGGAGGGCCCCCCCAAACCCCCACAGACGGCATCAGACGCACCCAAGACAGCCCCAATAGCAGTTTATAATAGCGCGAGACGGCCTCAGCGCCCCGTCTCCAAGACGGCTGTGAGGCCCCCACCGCCCCGTCTCCAAGTCTTTCCATCTGCACAGTCTCCCAGACGACTGTACAGGCCCCCATATCGCCCCACCCAAAACGGCCCGAGACGGCCCCAGGACGGCTCCAGAGGCGCCCGAGACAGCCCGAGAAACATCCAAGACAGCCCCAAGAGCGCCCAAGATCGGCCCAAGATGGCCCCAAGACGGCCTCAAGATGGTCCGAGAGGCGCCCGAGACTGGCCCGAGACGGCCCCACATCGCCCAAAGACAGCCCAAGAGGCACTCAAGACGGCCCAAGAGGGTCCCGAGAGACCCCCAGGAGGACGAAAAGAGGCCCCTAAACGGCTCCCAAGAGGCCTTGGATCCTTCTATCTTGGGGAGCGTCGAACTTCCAGCGTCGTCTGATGGGCTTCTTGGACCCTCTGGGAGTTATCTCTGCGCCTTTGGGGGACATCTTGGGGCGGTGCGCTCGAAAGGCCGATTTGTGTCCTCTCACTGGGGCCCGACTTAGGGAGTTCGTGGGGCCCTCTTGGGCCGTTTAAGAAGTCTCGTGGCCCGTCCTGGAGACCTTTTGGGCCGTCTCGCCGCCCTCTTGCGGGCCTCTGAGGCCGCGCCCACCGGCCCCATTGTCACCACACTACCAGATAGAATTATCATTCGGGCTCGGCGAGGAGCAGGTCCATTTATCCGTAAGGGCTTCGCCACATGCCGCCTGCCCCCTGTCTCGGATAATGGGAGATGCAAAAGCTAAATCATGAGGTCTGGGCGCCGCCGTGAAGCAGTGTCGAGACCTGTTTGTTTTTCGACCCTGACCCTATGGATCACGGGTGCCACCACATTTCAGAAATGTGTCGTGTTTTTGGACTCTGACCATACGGATCTGCATGAGTGGTGCCGCCGAATTTCAGAAATGTTGCAAACCCCATGTGTTTTTAGACCCTGACCCTGCCGATCTGCGTGAGGGGTGTCGCCGAATTTCAGAAATGTAGCAAATCGTATGTGTTTTTGGACCCTGACCCCGCCGATCTGCGTGAGAGGTGGCGCCGAATGTCAGAAATGTGGCAAATCCTTTTTGTGTTGTTTGCAACCCGGACCCCGCCGATCTGCGTGAGGGGTGCCACCGAATTTCAGAAATGTGGCAAATCCTTTGTGTTCTTGCACCCTGACCCCGCCGATCTGTGTGAGGGGTGCCACCGAATGTTAGAAGTGTTGCAAATCTCATATGTTTTTGCACCCTGACTCCGCCGATCTGCGTGAGGGGTGCCAGCAAATTTCAGAAATGTGGCAAATCCATTGCTTTTGGACCCTGACCCCGCCGATCTGCATGAGTGAGGGGTGCCACCGAAATTCAGAATTGTGACAATCCCTTGTGTTTTTGGACCCTGACCCCGCCGAACTGCGTGAGGGGTGTCAATTTTTGCCCACCCCAGCAATTCAGACAACACGCTCAGGGCGTGGTAAATATTCCGTTTTGTGCCTCCCCCCCCGCGCGGTCCATCAACAAGGAACAATAAGCAGCAAGAAGCATAATTGTAACAAGGAACAGTAAGCAGCAAGAAGCAGAACTGTAACAGTAGAAACTGGAAGCTGGAACTGGTACAGGAAGCTGCGAGGCTTCGACCTACAGCCTGGTGGCCCCACAAGGGGGCCGGCGGGTCTTTATATTACAATGCCGGTCGCAGCGCGTGCGAGGTCCCGGGCCGCTCCCGGCGCTTCTGGGGCCCTGGTCCGTCGCCGGCGTTTCCGGATTGCGGCGGGCCGCCCAGAGAACCCGTGGGCCGGGCGTTCTTCGACTGCCTCAGGAAGTCCCTGGAGCGCTCGCCAACGGCTCCAGGACCCCCAGATCGCCCCAAGACGGCCTCACAGACGCCCACGAGGGCCGAAGCCGACCCGACCAGAGCCCCCTGGCGGCCCAAAAAGGCTTCAGAGACGGCCCCCGAGGGCCGCCTGGACGGCGCCAAGGGGCAAAACTTGTGCGTTTTCCCAAGGGTTCGAGGGTTTTCTTCTTCCCGCCATTGCAGACCCACAACGGCCCAGGATGGCCCTGGGGACTTCCCACATCGCGCCAGGTGCGCCAGGTGCGCCAGGTGTGCCAGGTGCGCCAGGTGCGCCAGATGCGCAAGGTGCGCCAGGTGCGCCAGGTGTGTGCCAGGTGCGCGCCAGGCGCGCCAGGTGCGCCAGGTGCGCCATCAGCTACAGCGCTGGGATCAGCGCGTGCGAGAAGGGCAAGCAGTGGCAGCGGGCGCTTGCGCTGCTGAGCGAGATGCGGGAGGCGAAGCTGGAACCCGACGTCATCTCCTCTCTATGACTCACATACGCGCGTGCCCGAAAAGGCAAAACAGCGCATGTGCATAAATGCGCCCCCAGGAGGGTCATTTTTCGGCAACCCTCACGAAGATCCTGGCCCCAGAGCGTCACAAATCGAGCCCTCCGTCCAAAGACGCGCCGAAGTGACCATAAGAGGCTCCAAGGAGCGCCCGAGAGGTCCCCTTAGAGGCCCCCAACAAGGCCCGAGAGGCCTCCAAGGGCCCCCGACAGTCCTCCGAAGCATGCCCCCAGAGATCAACATCCTTTATTGTTCAAGGGTTTGGGAAAGAGATTTGCCTTCTCGCCTTCTCGGCTAGACGACGCTACAAGGCGGCCGAAGAGCCCGACGAGACTGCCTCAGGACGGCCCGCCAAGCCAAGCCTCCAAGCGCGCCCCCAGACGGCCCAGGGAACCCCAAGATGGCTCAAGAGGCGCCCAAAACTGCCCAAGAGAACCCCAAGCCCGGCCCAAGAAGGGGCCAACGAACGGGGAAAACACTGACATTCCGAGCCCTGGGCCGCCATACGCCCACACACGGCCCCAAGACCCCCCAAAGGGAACGCCAAGAGGACCCCAGAGGCCCCCAAGGCAGGCCAGGCGGCCACCAAGACGGCCCAGGAGGGATTCCAGGAGAACCTCAAGAGGCCAACATCGTCTCATTCCCCGCGGGAAACGTACATGTTCACTATGTTTTTTTTTCGTCCTCGCAGCGTCCACGATGGCGACACAGGCCCCCCAGCTCGCCCCAAAAGGCGCGCAACGCTCCCAGGAGCGCCCTAGAACGGCCCCGCACGGCCCCGGGATGGTTCAAGAGGCGCCGGACACGGCCCAAGACGCTCCCAAAACAACCCCAAGAGGAGTTCATTATGGCCCACGGGACGGTTCCGGCTTCAGGGGGCGCCAAGACGACCTCATATCACCCTTGGGAGCCCCAAGACAACCCCAGAGGCCCCCAAGGCAAGCCAGGCGGCTCCCAAATCATGCCTGACAAAAAACGCACATGTTCATTGTATGTTGTCTTGTCGTCTTCAGCGCCCACGAGGGCTATGCAGGCCCCCCAGCTCGCCCCAGGACGCGCACAGAGGCCCCCAGGAACGCCCCAAAACGGCCCCACACGGCCCCAGGACGGCTCCAGAGGCGCCCGACACGGCCCATGACGCACCCAACACAGCCCCAAGAGCAGTCAATACTGGCCCACGGGACGGCCCCGAGGGGCGCCAGGGGGCGCCAAGACAGCCTCAAAGCACCCTTGGGGCCCCAAGACAGCCCCAGGGGCTCCCAAGGCAGGCCAGGACGCCCCCAAGATGGCCCAGGAGGGCTTCCAGGAGAGCCCCAAACCCAAATCGTCGCCGTCCCTGCGGGAAACGCACAGTTTCACTATGTCTTGTTCTTTCGTCCCCACAGCGTCCACGATGGCTATACAGGCCCCCCAGCTCGCCCCAAAACGCGCCCAGAGGCCCCCAGGAGCGCCCCAGAACGGCCCCACACGGCCCCGGGATCTAGAAGCGCCCGACACGGCCCAAGACGCACCCAAGACAGCCCCAAGAGCAGTTCATGATGGCTCAAGACGGCCCCACCGCCCCGTCTCCAAGGCGGCTGTACAGGCCCCCGCCGCCCAGTCTCCAAGCCTTTCCGTCTGCACAGTCTCCAATACGGCTGGCTGTACAGGCCCCCAGATCGCACGAGATGCTCCTAGGCGTCCCCAGAAGGACTCCCAAACTGCCCGAGACGGCCCCGCGACGGCTCCAGAAGCGCCCGAGACGGCTCAAGAAATACCCAAGACAACCGCAAGAGCTCGGCCCAAGATGACCCCAAGACGGCCCCAAGATGGTCCGACAGGCGCCCGAGACGGCCCCACATCGCCCCAAAACGGCCCACGAGGCCCTCAAGACGACCCAAAATGGCACCAAGAGACCCCTGGGAGGACGCATGGAGGCCCCCAAACTGCCCCCAAGTGGCCTTGGATCCTTCTGTCTTCGGGAGCGTCGAACTTCAGCGTCGTGTTTGGGGCTTCCGGGCTTCTTGGACTCTCTGGGAACTATTTTTGAACCTTTGGGGGACGTTTTGGGGCGGTGCGCTCGAAAGATCGATTCGGGTCCTAGCACCGGGGCCCGTGTTCGGGAGTTCACGGGGCCCCCGTTGGGGCCGTCCTGGAAGCCTCACGGCCAGTCCTGGAGACCTTTTGGGCAGTCGCACCGCCTTGTCGCGGGCCTCTTAGGCCGCGCCCGCCGGCCCCACTGTCACCACGCTACCAGATACGATTCTCATTCGGCGAAGAGCAGATTGAATTATCACGGCGACCCTCCCCGCATAAGCTATGATGAACACAGACTGCGGCGTGAAAACAGCTTCTGTCCACAACATGTCATGCCTACGTGGGTGCGCTTGCGCTGGCACGGCCTCCACCACAGCGTTCCTGCCTTCAGGCCTGTTTGCCTGCATCCCTTGCCCACCTCCCCCTCCAGCGGCCACCTCCTCCATCCACGCCGTCCCCTCCAACCTCCCCTCACCTGCGAGGCCTCGGAGACGCTCCACTACCACGTCCACGCCATGGCGGGCAGGTTCAGCGGCCAGGAGGCCGCGGGTCAGCCCTGGTTTCTGTTCTATGGCAGACGGAAGCGCGTGCGAAATGGGCAAGCACTTCCCCCCCCCCCCGCCTGGAGGGCCACTTTTCGACACCCCTCACGCAGATCCTGGCCCCCGGGCGTCACAAAGCGAGCCCTCCGCCCAAAGACGCGCCGCAGTGGCCATCAGAGGCTCCAAGGAGCGTCCAAGAGGCATCCGAAAAAAAAGGCCCCCAGCAAGGCCCAAGAGGCCTCCAAGAACCTCCAACAATCCTCCGAAGCATGCCCCCTGAGGCCAAAGTTCTTTCTTTTCTGGTGTTTTGGAAGGAGTTTCGCCCATCCGCCTTCTCGGCTAGCCGACGCTCCAAGACGGCCGAAGAGACCTACAAGACCGCCCCAGAACGGCCCAACAGGCCTCCAAACGCGTCCCCGGACGGCCCAGGGAGGCTCAAGATGGCCCAAGAGCCCAAAAGGCGCACAAAACGGCCCCAGAGGACCCCAAGCCAGGCCCAAGAGGGGGCCAAAGAACGCGGAAAAACCTTGACACTCCGAGCCCTGGGCCCCCATACGACCACACAAGGCCCCAAGACCCCCCCAATGAAACACAAACAGGTCCCCAGAGGCGCCAAAGGCAGGCCAGGCGGCCACCAAGACGGCCCAGGAGGGATTCCAGGAGAGCCCCAAGAGGCCAAACTCGTCACATTCCCTGCGGGAAACCACATGTTCACGATGTTTCTTCTTTTTTTTTTGTTCTCGCAGCGTCGTCCACGACGGCTATGCAGGCCCCCCAGTTCGCCCCGAAACGCGCCCAGAGGCCACCAGGGACGCCCCAGAATGGCCCCACACGGCCCCGGGACGGCTCCAGAGGCGCCCGACACGGCCCAGGTCGCACCCAAAACAGCTCCATAAGCTGTTAATTATAGCCCACGAGGCGGGAGGTTCCAGGGGGCGCCAAAACGGCCTCACAGCGCCCTTGGGGGCCCCGAGACAGCCCCAGGGGCCCCCAAGGCAGGCCAGGCGGCTCCCAAGCCATGCCCGACGAAAAACGCACATGTTCATTATATTGGGTTTTTATCCTCGCAGCGTCCACGAGGGGTACTCAGGCTCCCCAGCTCGCGCCAAGACGCGCACAGAGGCACCCAGGAACGCTCCAAAACGGCATCGCACGGCCCAAGGACGGCTCCAGAGGCGCCCGACACGGCCCAAAACGCACTCAAGACAGCCTAAGAGCAGCCGAGAATGGCCAACGGGACGGTTCCGAGAGACTCTAGGGGGCGCCAAAACGGCCTCAAAACATTCCTTGGGAGCCCCAAGACAGCACCAGATGCCCCCGAGGCAGGCCAGGAGGCCCCAAAGATGGCTCATGAGGGCCTCCAGGAATGCCCCAAACCAAAATAGTCCCAGTCCTTGCGGGAAAGGCACATTTTCACCATGTTCATTTGTCCTCACAGCGTCCACGACGGCTATACAGGCCCCCCAGCTCGCCCCAAAACGCGCACAGAGGCCCCCAGGAACGCTCCAGAACGGCCCCACACGGCCCCGGGATCCAGAGGCTCCCGAAACGGCCCAAAACGCACCCAAGACAGCCCCAAGAGCAGTCAATACTGGCCCACGGGACGGCCCCGAGGGGCCCCAAGGGGCGCCAAGACGGCCTCAGAGCACCCTTGGGGGCCCCAAGACAGCCCCAGGGGCTCCCAAGGCAGGCCAGGACGCTCCCAAGATGGCCCAGGAGGGCTTCCAGGAAAGCCCCAAACCAAAATCGTCCCAGTCCCTGTGGGAAACGCACAGTTTCACTATGTCTTGTTCTTTCGTCCTCACAGCGTCCACGATGGCTATGCAGCCCCCCCAGCTCGCTCCAAAACGTGCCCAGAGGCCCCCAGGAGCGCCCCAGAACGGCCCCACACGGCCCCGGCGCCCGACACGGCCCAAGACGCGCCCAAGACAGCCCCAAGAGCAGTTCATGATGGCTCAAGACGGCCCCACCGCCCCGTCTCCAAGACGGCTGTACAGGCCCCCGCCGCCCCGTCTCCAAGCCTTTCCATCTGCGCAGTCTCCAATACGGCTGGCTGTACAGGCCCCCAGATCACCCGAGATGCTCCTAGACGCCCCCAAGAGGACCCCAAAACGGCCCGAGACGGCACCGGGACGGCTCCAGTGGCGCCCGAGACGGCTCAAGAAACACCCGAGACAGCCCCAAGAGCTCGGCCCAAGATGACCCCAAGACGACCCCAAGATGGTCCGACAGGTGCCCGAGACGGCCCCACATCGCCCCAAAACGGCCCACGAGGCCCTCAAGACGGCCCAAAAGGGCACCAAGACCCCAAGAGGCCTTGGATCCTTCTCTCTTGGGGAGCGTCGATCTTCCAACGTCGTCTTTGGGGCTTCTTGGACTCTCTGGGAGCCATTTATGCGCCTTTGGGGGACGTCTTGGGGCGTGCGCTCTTCAGGAGTTCGCGGGCCCCCCCGCTGGGGCCGTTTGGGAAGCCTCAGGGCCAGTCCTGGGGACCTTCTTGGCCGTCTCGCCGCCTGCCTCTTAGGCCGCGCCCGCCGGCCCCATTGTCACCACGCTACCAACAAATCAAATTCTCATTCGGCGAAAAGCAGATCAAATTATCACGGCTACCCTCCCAGCAGAAGCTACGATGAACACAGATTGCGGCGTGGGAAACAACTTCTGTCCACACCATGTCATGCCGCCATGGGTGCGCTTGCATTGACAAGGCCTCCACCACCGCGGTCCTGCCTTCAGGCCTGCTTGCCTGCATCCCTCGCCCAGCTCCCCCTCCAGCGGCCACCTCCTCCATCCACGCCGTCCCCTCCAACCTCCCCTCACCTGCGAGGCCTCGGAGACGCTCCACTACCACGTCCACGCCATGGCGGGCAGATTCCGCGGCCGGGAGGCCGCGGGTCAGCCCTAGTCTCTTGTCTATGGCAGACGGACGCGTGCGAAAAAGTCGTGCTTTTCTGCCCTCCCCGGAGGGCCACTGTTCTACACCCCTCACGCAGATCCTGGCCCCCGAGCGTCACAAATCGAGCCCTCCGCCCAAAGACGCGCCGAAGTGGCCATCAGAGGCTCCAAGGAGCGTCCAAGAGGCGCCCAACAAGGCCCGCGAGGCCTCCAAGAGCCTCCAACAGTCCTCCGAAGCATGCCCACAGAGGCCAACATAATTTTTCCAATTGTTTTTGAGGGAGTTCTGCCTTCTCGGCTAGCCGACGCCCCAAGACTGCCGAAGAGACCCACAAAACCGCCCAAGGACGGCCCAAGATGCACCCAATCCGGCCCCATAGAAAACCTCAAGCCAGGCCCAAGAGGGGGCCTAAGAACGGGGAAAAACCTTGACATTCCGAGCCCTGGGCCCCCATGCGCCCACACAAAGTCCCAAGACCCCCTCTGAGAGGCCTCCAAGAGCCTCCAACAGCATGCCCCCAGAGGCCAAAATTTATAATTGTTCAATGGTTTTTGACGGAGTTTTGCCTTCTCGCCTTCTCGGCTAGCCGACGCTCCAGGACGGCCGAAGAGACCCATAAGACCGCCCCAGGACGGCCCGCCGGGCCTCCAAGCGCGTCCCCAGACGGCCCAGGGAACCCCAAGATGGCCCAAGAGGCGCCCAAACCGGCCCCCGAGGACCCCAAGCCAGGACCCCCAGGAGGGACCCAGGAGGCAAAAATTGCCCCATTCGCTTCGTAAGACGTGCATGTTTGATGTGCTCGCTCTTTTCGTCTTCACCGCGTCCAAGACGGCTAGACAGGCCTTCCCGATCGCCCCGAGGCGCCCCCAGAGCACCCCTGGAGGGCACCCAAACGGTTATACAGGCCCCCCACCTCGCCCCAAGACGCGCCCAGAGCCCCCAAAGGGCCCCACGCGGCCCAGACGGCCCAGGACGCACCCAAGACAGCCCCAAGAGCAGCCAAGAATGGGGCGCCAAGACGGCCTCAGAGCACCCTCGGGAGCCCCACGACAGCCCCAGAGGCCCCCACGGCAGGCCAGGAGGCGCCCAAAACGGTCCAGGAGGGCCTCCAGGAGAGCCCCAAGAGGCACAAATCGTCTCATTCCCGATGGGAAACGCGCATTTTCGCTATGTTCCTTTGTTTCGTCTTCGCAGCGTGCAAGACTGCTATAGAGGCCCCCCGCCTCGCCCCAAGACGCGCCCAGAGGCCCCCAAAGGGCCCCACACGGCCCTGGGACGGCTCCAGAGGCGCCCGAGACGGCCCAGGACGCACCCAAGACAACCCCAAGAGCAGCCAAGAATGGCCACCATGAAGGTTCCGAGAGACTCCAGGGGGCGCCAAGACGGCCTCAGAGCGCCTTTGGGAGCCCCACGACATCCCCAGAGGCCCCCAAGGCAGGCCAGGAGGCTCTCACGACGGCCCAGGAGGGCCTCCAGGAGAGCCCCAAGAGGCCCAAACCGTCCCATTCCCGATGGGCAACGCACATTTTCAATATACCTATACGACCACCCTTCGGGTGATAAGGAGGTTCGGGGGGGAGGAACCACCGTGTCACTCGATCGGTCTCACTATCGATCTCACTATCTATCTCACTATCGGTCTCGCTCGATCGATCTCACTCGATCGATCTCACAATCGATCTCACTCGACCTATTTCATTCGATCGATCTCACAATCGATCTGATTATCGATCTCACTATCGATCTCACTATCGATCTCACTATCGATATCACAATCGATCTCACATTCGGTCCCACCATCGATCTCATTATCGATATCACAATCGATCTCACCATCAACGTCATCATCACCATCATCAACATCATCGTCATCAACATCAGCATCAGCATCAGCATCATCATCATCATCATCATCATCATCATCATCATCATCATCATTGGGACATAATCATCAGCATCACATAATCACCATCATCAACATCATCATCATCACCATCATCATCGGGACACCATCATCGTCCCCACCATCATCAACAACATCATCATCATCATCATCATCATCATTGGCATCATCATCGGGACACCATCATCATCACCAGAACACCACCAGCATTATCATCACCATCATCTTATCGTCATGAACAACATCGTCAACATCGTCATTTTTCCGGGACACCATCATCATCAACAGCGTCACCATCAACATCATCATCAGCATCGGGAAACCATCATTATCGTCGCCATCATCAGCATCACCATCTTCATCATCATCATCATCATCATCATCATCATCATCATCATCATCATCATCATTTCATCATCATCATCATCATCCGCATCATCCGCATCATCATCATCGGGACACCATCATCATCATCATCAACACCCAGCATCATCCTCACCATCATCGGCCCACCATCATCAAAAGCATCATCATCACCTCATCATCATCCTCATCATCAACATCATCGTCACCATCGGGACACCATCGTCGTCATCATCATCAACATCATCATCATCGGGACACCATAATCATCAGCTTCAGCATCATCAACATCATCATCATCATCAACCTCATCAGCATCATCATCGGGATACCATCTCCTCATCTCGATCATCATCATTATCATCTCAATCATCATCTCATCATCATCAACACCCCCAGGATCATCAGCATCATCACAACCAGGACACCATCATCATCATCAGCAACACAATCATCATCATCATCAACACCGTCATCATCGACATCATCATCATCATCGTCATCATCGTCATCATCGTCATCATCATCATCATCATCATCATCATCATCATCATCATCATCATCATCATCATCGGGACACCGACGGGACACCGGCGGGACACCGGCGGGACACCGCGCGCCACCGGTTGCCGGAAGGGAATCATTGGGTCCGGCCGCGCCTCAGCCACAGCGGGACACTGGCGGGACACCGCGCGCCACGGGTTCCCGGAAGTGAATCATTTGGTCCAGCCGCGCCTCAGCCACAGGAGACTTTTCTTTCGCCCGCCCACGCAGCTTCGCCTCGCCCGCACGCACGGCACGCACGAACACGAAACCGAAATCGATTTTCCGGTAGGGGGGCTCTCCGTTCCACTTCGTCTCACCCCCTCACCTCCGATCTTGCTTTTTCGTCCTCACAGCGTCCACGATGGCTAGACAGGCCCCCCAGCTCGCCCCAAGACGCGCCCAGACGCCCCCTTGAGGGCGCCCAAAGGGCCACACACTGCCCCGGGACGGCTCCAGAGGCGCCTGAGACGGCCCTAGACGCACCCAAGACAGCTCCTAAGAGCAGCTAGTAATGGTCCAAGACGGCTCCACCGCCCCGTCTACAAGACGGCTGTAGAGGCCCCCGCCGCCCCGCCTCCAAGCTTTTCCGTTTGGACAGTCTCCAAGACGGTTTTTTGGGCCGTACGGGGCGGCTCCAGAGGCGCCCGAGGCGGCTCAAGAAACACCAAATACAGCCCCAGTAGCGCCCAATATTGGCCCAAGATGGCCCCAAGATTGTCCGAAGATGGTCCGAGAGGCGCCCAAGACGGCCCCGCATCGCCCCAAGACGGCCCGAGATGCACTCAAGACTGCCGAAGAGGGCTCCGAGAGACCCACCCCCAGGAGGACGAAAAGAGGCCCCCAAGCGGCCCCCGAGAGGCCTTGGATGCTTCTCTCTTGGGGAGCGTCGAACTTCCAGCATCGTTTTGGAGGCTTCTTGGACCCTGGGAGCCATCTCTGCGCTATTTGGGGACGTCTTGGGGAGGTGTGCTCGAAAGGTCGATTCATGTCCTCGCACTGGGGCCCTTCCTAGGGAGTTCCGTCTCGCCGCCCTCTTGCGGGCCTCCTAGGCCGCGCCCATTGGCCCCATTGTCACCACACTGCCAGATGAAATCATCGCCCCGGCGAAGAGCAGATAAACTTCTCACGGCTACCTTCCCCGCAGAAGCTATGATGACCACAGACTGCGGCGTTAGAAACAGCTTCTGTCCACACCATGTCATGCCTACATGGGTGCGCTTGCCCTGACACGGCCTCCACCACCGCGTTCCTGCCTTCAGGCCTGCTTGCCTGCATCCCTCGCCCACCCCCCCTCCAGCGGCCACCTCCTCCATCCACGCCGTCCCCTCCAACCTCACCTTACCCGCGAGACCCCAGAGACGCTCCACTTCCACGTGCACGCCAGGGCGGGCAAATTCCGCGGCCGGAGGCCGCGGGTCAGCCCTAGTCAGCTACAGCGCTGGGATCAGCGCGTGCGAGAAAAGCGAGCAGTGGCAGCGGGCGCTGGCGCTGCTGAGCGAGATGCGGGAGGTGAAGCTGGAACCCAACGTCATCTCTCCTACATGGCCGGTGGAAGCGCGCGCGAGAAGCCCAGGGCCTCAAGTGCACAAAATCGCCCCTTTACGGCGCCACCACGGGGCCGAATCGCTCAGGCCGGTCCCAGAGGCGCTCCAGAGGGGTCCCCAGACCGTCCAAGAGCGCTCCAAGACGGCTTCAGTGGGTCCCGAGACGGCCCACGAGGGCCCGCAGCCTTCAGGGGGGGGCTCCACATCCAAGAGGCCGCAAAGACGCCCCAAGAGGGCCCCGAGCGCACGCCAAAGAGGCACACATCGCCAAATTCTTATGGGAAAAGAATATGTTTTCAGCATGCCTTAGGTTGATAACCAATGGAAGCCTAAGGTGTCTTTTTTGTTGTTTTTGTTTCGTTTAGTGCTCAATAGTGCCGCGTAGTGCGCGTCAGAAGGCCGGGGAGGTGATGATGTAGGAAGAGGAGGAGGAGGAGGAGGAGGAGGAGGGAGGAGGAGGAGGAGGAGGAGGAGGAGGAGGGAGGAGAGGAGGAGGAGGAGGAGGAGGAGGAGGAGGAGAGGAGGAGGAGGAGGAGGAGGAGGAGGAGGAGGTAGGATGAGGTAGTGGTCAGGCATATCAGATATCCGACGTGGTCCTCGCAACTTGCACTCCGCTTCATGGCTGCAGCGTTGGGGGCCACGAGGGGTGCGCGTGCACTCCCGAGGAGGGCTTTCTAAGAAGCCTTGTGAGAGCGACTGGCTGTCAATGAGGAGGCGGAAGGAAGTAGGAGGAAGTAGGAGGAGGCATAGTGACGTAAGGGGAGGTCGGGCGAGTTGGCAGGAGGAGGTTGGAGGAGGCAGGGGGGGTTCGGAGGATATGCGAGGATGCTAGAGGGGACTAGCAGAGGTATGACGAGGTAAGACGACGTAGGGAGAGGTAGGAATAAGTAGGAGGAGGTATGCCACGGCAGGGTTAGGTAGGAACTGCGCAGGAGGAGGCGAGATGAAGTATGCGCAACCAGATGGCGTATGAGGAGGCAGGAGCACACTGGAGGATGTAGGATGAGGGAGAAGGCATCATGAGGAGGTTGGAGGGGGCAAGAGGAGAAGGTAGGAGGAGCTATGCCGATGTAGGGAAGCGCAGGAACATATGGGAGGAGGTTGGAAAAGTAGGAGGCGGCATTGAGCGGCAGGGAGCAGCGTGCTGCAATCCCCCCCTCGCTCCCTCTTACCCCCCCGCTCACGTACACGAATCGACAGGGCAGCAGCAACAGAAGCAGCAACACCAGCAGGAGGAGGGGATATCAAGAGGACAGGGTGGGGTAACCAGGAACAGCAGCAACAACAGCAGCACGAAAAGGGGGAGGCGGATGAGGAGGGGGAGGAAGAGGAGGAGGACGGAGGACGGAGGACGATTTGTGACACCCAAGGCCCCGCATCGCGAACAAAATGCGACGTCGAGGGGAAGGTTTTCTAGCAACGGCCTCCAGAGGCCTCCGGGGACTTCCCGCGACGCGTGAGGCCCTCGGAGACCTCCAGGGCGGCATAGCTGGCCAACCGAGGAGAGAGAAGTGGGGAGAGGAGATGGTGGAGGAGGAGGAGGAGAAGAGGGAGGAGGAGACGGAGGAGGAGGAGGAGGAAAGATGCAGGGAAGGATGCTTTCCTCGATGACGATGCGGACGAAGACTCTCCGCAACAGTCGAAGTTCATATTTACGCTGAAGTACAAGTCCTCGAACCAAATGTTCACATTCAGGGTTTCGAAGCCCTCCAGGGCGCTATTGCGCCCCCATTTGGAAGAAGCGCGCCTTTGTTTTTCCTCGTAGCTGCCCAAGACGACCCAAGATGGCCCCAAGACGGCCGAACAGGTCCCCAAGACGGCCCAAGAAGACTCCAAGACAGCACCGACAGAGGCCCAAGAGGCCGACCAAACAATTACAAACTCGAGCTTTCCGCCCCCAGGAGCCGCAGGGAAACCCAAGAGTTGGGCGCCCGAGTTATCCGGGATAACTCGGGCCCGGGGTAACTCGGGTTTGGATTCCCGAAAAAGGAACCCGAATTATCCCTGACCCGAGTTACCCCTGATGATTCGGGGCTCTCGGACGCCCGATTCATCCGGGGTAACTCAAGCCCGGGGTAACTCGGGTTTGGATTCCCGAAAAGCGAACCCGAGTTATCCCTGACCCGAGTTACCCCTGATGATTCGGGGCTCTGAAAGAGTGCCCCAGGAGGCCGCCAGAGACCCCCAAGAGGCCCCCGAGACGCCCCAAGTAACAACCAAGGAAACCTCCCAGAGGCTCCGAAACGGCCCCCAAGTTGCTTGAAAACTGCATTCAACGGTCCCCCGAGAGGCGCACCGCGAGATCCCGATACACATACAAGAAATCTCTCACCCATAACCCATGAACCAGAGCCTTCTGTCCGTGCCCCCATCCTTCTCCCCCCCCTCCCCCTCCAACTCGGCCCGTGAAGAAGGGTTCCACGCGATCCTCCGATGAGGCTCCCGGGTGCGCGGATAACCCTGACACGCCAACCCCGAGCCCCCAAAGGGGGGGACTTGAGCCCGCCGTGGGCGCGCAGGCACGGGCGCGGCAGCGGCGCATCTCCTCCTGCGTCTCATTCCCCCCCTCCTCCCCCTCCTGCTCCGCCTCCTCCTCCTCCTCCTCCTCCTCCTCCCTCCCCCACCTCTCCTTGCTCCTCTTCCTCCGGCTCATCCTCGTCTTCTTCCTCCTCCTCCTTCCCCGCTGGGCCCAAGGCAATGGTGAATGTAAGTCCCTCACAGTGGATCGGAATCCGCCACCGTGCCTCGGGCACGGAGTGGGCGTGTCCTGGGGCCGAATGCCTCAGTCCTCATCCACAGGAGTCTTGAAGCGACCGGGACTCTGAATTCTCGAATCTCTCAGGGCTGCCCTCGTGAACCTAGATAGCCCCAAAAGGGGCCACGACGACGACCCCAAGACAGCGCCCACGTCGGGCCAAAACGGCCCCGAGAGAAGCAATTATTGACTCAAGACGCCCCAGATGGACCCAAAACTCCCACAAAAGATTCGAAGACGACCGCAGAATACACATAGGAGAGAGGAAGAAAGCGAGAGAAAGAGAGAAAAAAAACACGCCCAAACACACACGCGCATTGCCCTGGCCTACCCGTACTCCATATGAACACTACCCCCCTGTTGCAGGAAAGCTCGCGGGGACCACCTGAAACCAAAGAAAACACGAGGCCTGATTTGGGGTCGGCGGCAGAGGCGGCAGCCTTTAAATAATTTCCATACAAATGTCTTACGAACACAATACAGCCAGCCCGAACACAATCCGAAAGCACGGAAATCTCCCGGAAAATCATGACCGTCGGAAAAGTCCGTGAAAATATCACAGAAAAGCTCGCCCCTCGGAAACCTCCCGGGGAATTTCCCGGAATGGCCCGGAGATCTCGCTGAGGGGGAGTCCCTGTAGATTTCCCAAAGATTTCGGCGGGGGGGATCCGCCTTGGAGATCCTAGGGGGGCCCCACCACTGCGGCCAGAGATTCAAGGGGAGACTTTCACCAGATTGTTAGACAGAACCGTTTCGGACATTTGGCCCACGCCCCCCCCCCCCCCGATCTACCACTCGCGCCATTTGAGACGCATCCCGCCAGGACGCACAGGGCTGCCTCGTCGGCCCGAACCCACGCCACTAGTGCTGAATCCCCCTTTCCCTTCATCTTTGCCCTTCCCGAACGCAAAAACGAACGTGTTTCAGAAGTGACTGTCGGACAAAATTGCCAAGAAGGTGCGGTCACCTCGGTAACCTTCACCGTGGCCTTTGCCTTTCCGTTCGATGGCCCTCAGGACGCGGCGCGCGGGCGCGCGGTCGTTGAAGCGCCAAGGCGCGTTTGGGGGCGCTCGCAAGCCCAGGAGAGGCATGCGCCGCGCACCTTCCACGGGAACGTCGCGTAGTTCGGGGTCGACGGCGGCTATCTCTCCGTCGCCAAATAAGCCGATGGCATCCTGAGTCGACGCCTGCCGCTGGGAATGCCTCCTGCGCCGGCGGTGGCGGCGCATGTGCGCTCGGCGCCGCCCCCAGCGAAGCTGGACCCATGCCGCCCCAGCTCGACCCAGCCGCAGCGTCGGAGACACGCCGAGCATGAGATTGCATGGCGCACCCGTGGGACCCCGGGGAACGCGCCTCGAGGGCGGGACTGCAGGGGAACTCATCGCGGCCGGGCGAAGGGGGGACTTCGACGGGAGGGTTGCGATGAGCAGGATCCAGGCAGCGAGCGCACTTCGAGGGCAATTCGTCGCATTTCAGTCCGCTCTCGGGGCGGACGAGCATTTCGCGGGAACCCAGAGTGCGATTTCCGCCTTGCTGGGAGCCTTGAGTGACGAGTTTGATTTCGGTCGAGCTCGGAGGCGGCGGGTCGGGCGGACAGCGGCCCAGTGGCCACGGTCTGCAAGGCGCTTGCAGCGCAGACTGGCGCAGAAGGAGGACGAGCTGGAGAATCTCCACGCGGCCAAGGAGAGCGGCCGCATCCAAAATCTCTGGTTCATCCGCGCGGGCTTTTCGGACCCGTCCATCCCAGGACATTTCGTTTTCACCGTATTCAAAGCGCTTTGACGAAACATTAGAAACATTCGTATGCGCGGGGTTCTGCCGCGAGTGGCCCGTGCAGGAAACCACGAACATCAGCGCCAGCTATATAGGGCATGCCCGGGATGCATTTGCCAACCTGATTGTCAAGCATCGTCGCGAGCCACGGGCTTTAGTGAGCATGTCTAATTGTCGCTGTTTGAAAACTTCAGGCCGCCTCGTGCAATGGCGCGCGTTGGAGAGAACTCCACAACTAGGGGGGCCCTGGTTTGGAATTCATCACATCCACGAAGCGTGGCCCCACTTCCCACTTGGCGGCGCACCCCAAGCCAGGCAAGCGCGGCAGCTGGCGGCAACGGCAGGCGACGGTTTGGTCTTCGTTTCGCACGTGCGGGACGAGGTGCTGATGCGGCTGCGATCCATCGACGGCGCGTCGACGCAGGCGCGGGCCCAGATGGGCAGCGCCAGATTGCGCGGGCGAGGTCGAGCAACATCCAGACTTCAGCCATCACGGCCAATGTCGGGGACGAGTCGCTCGCAATCTTCGGAGAGCTAGCCTCTGGCGCGCAAAGATAAGGACACCGTTGTAGAGGCCGCAATCAACTCTGTCCGTGATTTGCTCACCTCTGTCGAGGCGGGTGGGTCTCCACGAGGCCGTGGGCGAGGCCCGCCAGTGTGATGGGCTGGCAGTTTTCCACTTCATGACAGGAGATGGCATTGGCACCGGCAGCGCGGCGGGCTGCAGGCTCGCGCACCATTACAGGAACCACTTCGAGCACCGCGGCGTCAGGTACCCAGGGGGGGCGCGGGCCCCAGCGCCAACGCCCAGCAGCCCCGTTGCGACGGCACTGCCCCCACGCGCGCCCCCCCGCGCAGGACCTGGGGCTTCGCCGCAACGGCCGCCTCCCGGAGGGCCCGTTGCGGCGGGGCCCCCGGTCTCCCCGACGCCCAAATGGCACTGCTACATGTGCTGGGCGCGCGCATCTCATTCGGCCAATTTGGCCGTTCACGTGGCCATCGTGGGGGGCCTGGTCAGCGACCCCCAGGGCAGCGACGTTTTCGTCGGCAGTTGCTCCAGATGTTTTAAGTACCACTTGAACGACTACCATGATGAGTATTCGTTCAGCCTGCGGCGCCACGTGCGCGACGCCATGCGCGCGGTGGAGGGGCCCGACGCCGAGGCCAGAACCAGACGGCTCATCATGCAGGCACTGCGCGGGCAGGGCGCCGCCCCGAAGTCCATCCTGGATTTCTTCGAGAGTTTGCCTGGCCTCACGCGCGTACTTGCGCGAGGGGAGAGCGACGAAGCAGCGGGGGGCGAGGCGTTCTTCCTGCCCCACACGCACATTTTCGTGCCACAAGAGCACCCCAGCATATCGAGATTTTGGCTTTTCACCGATTGCGCATGGGAGCTCCTGCTCATCCACTTGCCGAAGTTGCCGCGCGAGGTTTTCTCGCCGGCCTGGACCACGGCGAACCCAGGCAATGCTAAGCGAACAGGTCGCTTTGGGAAGTTTATGGAGTCCGCGGGCGCTCCCCAGCGTCTGTGGGTTGCGTCGCCAGGACTTCGCCTTACACCTCTCGCTGCCAACATCTCGTCCCGGAAGGCGGGCCCCCAGCGAGGGGGGCCCCCGCTGCTATTTCGGCTCGGAAAGCGCGCGGTCCAGATCCGCACCTCGGAACTGATGAACGAGATGATGCAGCGCCTGCGCGGAGGCCCGGACTTGGACATCAACCTCGCAGTGCTGCGACTTTACTTGTACTTGACGGAGGCGCACATGTGCATCCGCTTCGCGGCGTTCAGCCTTTCCCCTGCGGCGCTGCGGCGCCTTTCCAGCCGCTGCAACCCGTCTGGCTACCTTCGCGCCGCGGGGCAGTTTCTGGTTGCGCCCGCGGCGGACCTCGACGCCGGCTACTCTGCGCACCTCCATGCCCGCGCGCTCAGCCAGGCTTCCTTCCCGAAGTCGCTTGCCTACATGCTGTCCGACCCTGCCCAGTCCGAGCTGCGCGGAATTGCGGAGAAAGGCACGGGGGTCTCAATCGTTCACTTGGGCGTCGGCGGGGGAGAAGGAGGGGCGTTTCGGCGAGGGTGAGCTTTTCAGGATGAGTTGGCCGTTGCGACGAGGGGCTATGCGACGAGGGTGCGCCGCGCAGTTTACGACGAGGGGCGTTGCGACGAGGGGCTGCGCGACGGGGGGGGGCCCTATGGCGAGGGGCGTCGCGACGAGGGCGCGCCCGTAGTTTACGCCGCTTCCTGGACAAACGCGGCGATGGGCGGCGCGGCGCGAGGGTGGCCGCCGTCGCCCGCGCGTCGAGGAACAGCATTATCCGGTCTTTCAGGCGCGAGCGCGGCGACTTCGCGGGCGCAGCTGTGGTGCGAGCGCAGACCTCCGCTGGCAGCGAGCAAAGCATCCAACAGTACATCATTGAGAACGGCTTCGAGCAGAAGGCCGCCGACACGAGGCGAGAGGCCAGGCGCGTTTTGAAAGGGCCTGAGGAAGTCCACCCCATGACCAGAATGTGCAATGGCTCAGCTGGTTGGAGCACAACGGATGGAATTCCGCAGCCGAGGCCAGGCGGGAGGTGTCCAAGCGGCTTGTTCGCGACAGGGCCCTCCAGCATTGGACCGTGCCCAGTCGACCGAGGTTGTCCAGCCGGATGAGCTGTGGATCCCGCTGCTCAAGCAGTTACGCTTCGGCTTCTTCGCCGTGCGGACGGCCCGCGGCGTTGCGGCGATGTTAGCCTGTGCTGTGCGGGGGGCCGCAGCCTAGCTGCTGGCCCAGCTCGAGACGTTCGGCCAAGTTATCGAACCCAGCGGGATCTTGGTTCACAGCGCGCACTTCGCGCCTGTGCTGGAGAAGAATTACATCTAGGACCGGGCCGTGCACCGGGGCCTCCTCGGAAACGGCGTGCGCGCGGTGGAGTTGGAGCTGGCCGCTGAGTCGCGGCAGCGCGTCAGCGGGCGCAGGGGCGCTCGCGGCCGGCGCGCGCGCCTTTCCCCGCCCCGCTCTCGCGGAGGGGGTGGCCGTGGCAGACGACTCGCCCCTCGTGCAGCCGAGCCCGCCCGCCGCCGCGATTGCCCGCCCGAAGATGCGCGCGGCGCCGCGGGCGGCCTCGCCCTCGGCGGCGGCGCCGTGGGCGAGGGTGCAGCAGGTGGCGGCGGCCCCAGTGGTGGGGGGCTCCGACGACGCAGATGTCTCCGACGACGAGTACGCGGTCGCGAAGTGTTACGGCACCCGCGCGAAGAAGGCGATCGAGGCAAGGCCGGCGCACGCCTGTCGCAACGCGCGGCTGTCGCGACGCGATCCTGGAGGCATGTGTTGCCTCCGGGAGCGCGTTGCCACATCTGCGTGTCGGCGCCCCCTTGCGAGGCGGGCCTGCTGTGGCGCGCGGGCCCGGCGAAGTCGGGCTTCGCGGAGTTCTGGGTCCGCGCTGCGACCGGCTACGTCATCGACCAGTGCGCGGAGACTCGCGAGCGCCTCGCGGTCGGCTCACAGGAGTTTGTGGACGACGCGCCTGGGACTCAAGGGCCTCTTCAGGGCAGCGACGTCGGCGCTGACGAGCGTGGAGAGCCTGGGTGTCCCGAGGCATTTCCCCGAGCACTTCGAATTGCTGAGCGGCGCGCTGCCCGCCTTGCTGCCGAACTTCGCCAAAGGTCTCGTAATATTGGCGAGCGCGAGGCCTGGTTGCGACGTGGTGGTGGCGGGGTGGGGGGGTGGGGGGGGGGCGGGGGCGGCGGCGTTCAAGGACAGCGGCGCGTTCTTCACCGGCCAGATTTACAATCAGGTCGCGCGCGCTCGCTTCCAGGCCAGGTCGGGGAGTGCCAGGGCCGAGGCCGCCGCGACCCTGGCGGGGCGATGCGAGACGGCCGAGGAATTGCTGAAGGCTGCCGCCGCGAAGGGGCACCGGGAGGAATTGGAGGCCGCAGCGGCGATCTTCAACCCCGCAGTCAACGCCCTGGAGAGGATGAACTTCCTGTCCGAGCCCGACAACTTGAGGGCGTTCCAGCCGTGGGCGCCCGGTTGCCGCGCGCTCCGCATCATGGAGATCATGGCGACAACAGACGGGGGCTTCGGCGGCGCTTCGGCGAAGGATTCCGCCGAAACGTTCGCCAAGATCGCGGAGGTGGGCGCGGCGCCCGACTTCGCGCCCCCACCCCCGCGAAAGTTTTGTTCGCCGAGTGCCGGGCGGCGGCTCGCGGGGCGGCGCTCGAGGCCGCAGCCTTCAAGTTCGGCTCGGTCGGCGAGCGGGGCCAGGGCCCCGCCGCCGCGAACCCGTCGCGCGCGAGGGCGCTCGCGAAGATCACCGGCCAGCGCGGAGTTCTCAACGCCCGCCGCCTCCAAGGGTTTCGGGTCGACGACGACGCGCGTTTCGACGGAGGTCGCAGCCTGCGGCGCGCCCCCTGTCGCAACGCATGCCCCCCCCCCCGCGTTCTGCTTACGTCGCAAACGGCCTCGGCAACAGGCCTGAGCAACGGGGGAGAAGGGGGGCCTGCGCCGACCCTCCAGGCGCCTTCTGAAGCAAATCGCCGAGGCTGACGCCCCGACGGTGCAGCGCGCGGCCGTTGGCGGCCGCCGCTGCGGCCGCGGCGGCCGCCAAGTCATGCAAGGAGAAAGCAGAAAGCAACGACAGCCCCGCGGGCGAGTAGACAGCAGAGGCTGCCAAAGCGGCGGCCCGGGAGGAGGGCCAGTCGCCTGGCGGCGACGCGCCCGGCGACGCGCTTGACGGCGGCGAGCCGCGTGGCGGCGGGGAGCTCCCAGCCGAGGAGCCCGCCGAGGCGTTGGCAGCGGCGCCCGGGTCCGCGCCGGCGCCGGCCCTCGCCGTCGGCGACGAGGTCGTGGTGACGCACAGGCTCAAGAGGCACAACGGGTTTCGGGCCAAGATCACAAATTTGGTCGGCGGGGACAAAGCCAAGATCGAGATGCTCGAGGGCGACGCGAAGGGCACGGGCGACGCGTGCCTGACCTGGTCGCGGGCGAAGCCGAAGCGCCTGAGCCCTGAGCCTGACCTCGTCGCTGCCGCGGGCCCCCCCAGGGGCAAGGGTGGGCCGGGCCAGGCGGCGGCCGCCAGCGCGCCCGAGGCGCCGCCGGCCAAGAAGGCCAAGATCGAGGATCAGAAGGAGAAGGACAGTGTCGAGGCCAAGAAGGAGAAGGACATGGCGACGGCCACTGAGCTGTACGCCGCCGTCTCCGCTGACCTGGAGTGAGCTCTGGGCCGCCAGCGCGCTCGCTCGCGCACCTGTGCGCCACCGAACCAAGTGCGCCTGCAACTCAGCTGCCCAGCTGCCCAGTCGCCTGCAACTCAGCTGCGAAGCTGCTGCGTCGAAACTTTCTGTATACCACCGAGCTAACTCGCTCGCGCTCGTTGCTATCCGCTAGCGCGCTCGCTCTTGCACCTGTGCGCCACCGGTGTTCGCGGTCATTCGCGGCGCCTTGTCATCATCGCATTTTGATGCCTGGACATGGGGAAGAGGGCAGGGGAGGAGGGAGAGGAGGAGGAGGAGGAGGCCCAGGAGGAGGAATAGGAACGTTACGGCGCTCCGCTCTTGTCGCGCGGGTCCGCCTTGAGAGTCGTTTTCGGCTTTTCCCCCAAACCAGTTCCGCAATCATCTTGGCGCCTCGACAAGGTGAAGGGGGCGGAGGGAGAGGGAGAGGGGGAGGGCCAGGAGGAAAAGGAGGAGGAGGAGGAAGAAGAGGAGGAGGAGGAGGAGGAGGAGGAGGAGGAGGAGGAAGAGGAGGAGGAAGAGCGTTACGACGCTCCGCTCTTGTCGCGCCGATCCGCCTCGAGAGCCGTTTTCGGCCTTTCTGAATGCTTGGGGCTTCCGCCGCTCCGCCGCAGGGCACGGTGCTGGAGGCTCGTCGCGTCGGCGGCCGTCGTCAGAGGTCGCGGCGCCTCGAGGCGACTCTCTCCTTATCTGAGGAAGGCCCCCGCCACCCCGCTGTGGGGCATGGTTCGAAGGCCCGCCGCGCGGCCCCCGGTGTTCTGATCCGCTCGAGCCTTGCACGGCTCTCCTTCTCACAGCCCCAGGGTTCGGGGCCCTTCAGGGATCACCCTCAGGGTCGTATCTACGGTCGCGGTGTTCGGCCTGCGGTCGCGCTGGGCCCCCGGGGCGTTCAAGGTATTCTTGGCTCGTTCTGGTGCCGTTCTGGTTCCGCCTCGAGGTGGGTGTCGGGATCATTCTCGGGTGATCGTCAGGCCCCCTTCCCTCCCTCCCTTCCGTTTCCCCCCTCATCCGCTGTGCGTCCCATCGAGTCGACCAGACAGGTGCGCGCCGCACCTTTGCGCACTAGTTCGCGTTATTTGCGATGCAGGGGTGTCGCTCGAGGCCTCCATGGATGACGAACCTAACATGCCCGCCTTGTGTGCTCCGCAGCCGCCCAGGACACGCCAAGAGGCCCCCCAAATCGCCCCAAGAAGACGCCGGCGGCCCCTAAGAGGGGACGGCCCACAACAACCCCAAGACGTCGCCAGAGAGCCTGGAAACGGCCTCACAAAACCCGACGACGGCCCCAAGAGAGCCCCGAGGGGGCCCCAAGATGCCCCCAAACCGGCCTCAGGCAGCCTCGAGAGAGCTCCAAGACGGTCCAACGCTTCCCAGACGCCTGCCCCAAGACGTCCCAAAACGCTGCCAGAGCAGCCCAACAAAAATTCTGAATGGCCCGAAAAAGATCACCACAAAGACCACGAAGCAGGCCCAGAGACGCCCATTAAAAGAGCGATCGGTGCAGTACACAAAGCTCTTCTCACCAAGGCCCCCAAGAGCGAGCCGCAGCGTAGAGAGCTGTCCCAAGCACAGCTCCCAAACGGGAGAGGTGACGTGTCCAGCCTTTCACACAGGGGCTCTCAAAAGCGAAGGGCGCCATGAACCATCTCGGGCCTGCGAGCGTGCGCCCGCCGTCACGCTTCACCCACGCAACTGGGGAGAACTCGCTGCAGCTTTCCGGGCGTACCCCGCCCACGGATCCTCGCCGCAGTCAGAGCGCTGCCTGTCTCCGTGGGTGCGGGTGCGAGTGCGCGAAGGTATGCGCGTATGGCACGGGGCCGCGCCGTGGAGGCGCACCAGGGGGACCTGAAGGTCGTGGGGGAAGTCCACGGGTTCGCCCTAGTCTCTACTACATTGCAGGGCCCAGTGCGTGCCAGAAGGGCGCAGGCCCCAATGCACCGAAACCGCCCCGGGCTGGCCCCGGGCCGCCCCGGGCCGCCCAGGCAGGCTCCAGGACATGTCGAGAGGGCCCCCAGAAGCCCCCAAGACGGCCCCGGAGAGCCCCGGCACGCTTAAAGATGGGCCCAAGACGCCCGAGATTCGCCCCAGACGGCCCAAGAGGCGTCCAAGACGCCCGAAGAGGCCTCCCAAGAGGCCTCCCAAGAGGGCCCCGAGCGACAGAAATCGTCGATTTCTATTGTGTTTTTCGATGTTTTCGGCCTCCTCGCCTCTTCGGCTTCCCGACGCTCCAAGACGGCCCAAGAAGTCCCCCCGACCGCTCCAAGACGGCCGAAGAGGACCCCAAGAGAGCCCCAAGACGGGCCAGGAGGGCCCCAAGACGGTCCCAGGACGGCCCCAGGACGGCCCCAGGAGGCGACCAAGACGGCCCAAGAGGCACCCAAGACGGCCCCAGGAGCGGCCCAAGACGGCCCAAGACAGCCCAAGAGGCGCCGAGGCGGGCCTCAGACGGCCCCAAGGCGGCCCAAGAGGCACCCAAGACGGCCCGAGAGGGCCCTAAGAGCCCCCCCCGGGAGGCCCAAAAGAAGGCCGAAGAGGCTCCGAAACGGCCCCCACGAAGCCTTCAGTGGCTACAGAATTCCCTCCAGGAGCGGGGGAGCGGACGAGAGGCGACAGGCATATCGCAGGCAAAAGCGCCCCAAGAGATCCCCAAACGGCCCCCACGAAGCCCTGTGTGGCCTCAGAATTGCTTCCAAGAGGGGGGGAGCGGACGAGAGGCGACCGGCATATCGAAGGCATCATGATTGCCTTTCGGCCCTGCAGCCGCACCCCCCCCGCGCTTGCCCAGAGACCCCTCGCCACGTCGAGCTGATGTCGTGGACGGAGTCCACAGGTCTGCCCTAGTCAGCTACAACGCTGGGATCAGCGCGTGCGAAAAAGGCGAGCAGTGGCAGCGGGCGCTTGCGCTGTTGAGCGAGATGCGGGACGCGAAGCTGGAGCCCGTCGTCATCAGCTACAGCGCTGGGATCAGCGCGTGCGAGACGGGCGGGCAGTGGCAGCGGGCGCTGGCGCTGCTGAGCGAGATTTGCGAGGCGAAGCTGGAGGCCAACGTCATCTATACTTCAATGCCGGTCGCAGCGCGTGCGAGGTGACCGGCAGTGGCTCGGGGCCGCTCCCGGAGCTCCTGGGGCCCTGGTCCGTCGCCGGCGTTCCCAGCACCGTTGTGGCGGTCCCGCAAGGGCCCTGGGCCGCCCATGACGTGTTCACGAGAGCTCCGAGCGAACCCCAAACCGGCCCCCCCAGGGTCCTTAAGGAGCCGAGTGGCCCCATAGGCACTCCAGACAACTCCGAGGACGCCCCCAGGAGTCAAAAAAACTGAATTTTCATTTTTGTTTGAAGGTTTTTCGGCACGGGCTTTTTCGAACACGAATAGCTGAAGAGAGCCCTGAAGGCCCCCACGACGCTCCTACGAGGGCCCCCGCGAAAGCCCCAGGACGGCACAAGAGGGCCCCAAGACGGCCCTAGAGGGCCCCAAGGCGGCCCAAAAGCCCCCAGGAGAGCCCCAAGAGAGCCCCAAGAGAGCCACAATAATACCCAAGAGGCCCCCCAGACAGACCCAGACGGCCCGTCATCCCCAAGACAGGCCTCACATTGACCAAAAGGGCACGAAGATAGGCCCAAAGGGCCCCACGAGGACCCCTGACGGGGCCTCGGTGGCCGAAGCGTCGCGCCTCCTGGGAGCCTCGGCGCGGCCGCGCGGTCGCGCTTTCCCGGCCGCGCGGTCGCGCGTGCGAGTAGCAGAAGCAGTGGCAGCGCCCCGGGCCGCCCAGAGAGCCCGCGGACCAGAGAGCCTCCGGGGCGCTCCTCGACGACCCCAGGAGGCCCCTGGAGCGCCCGCCGACGGCTCCAGGACCCCAAAATTGCCCCAAGACGGCTTCACAGACGCCCGAGAGGGACGAAGCCGACCCGACCGGAGCCCCATGACGGCACAAAAATGCCTCAGAGACGGCCCCCGAGGACCGCGTGGACGGTGCCAAGAGGCAATGCTTCTGCGTTTTCAAAAAATTTCGAAGGTTTTCCTGTTCCCGCCACTTCGGGCCTACACCGGCCCAGGATGGCCCCGCGGGCTTCCTAGATTGCCCCTGCACGGTTTCAAGACGGCCCCAGCAGGGCCTGCAGACGGCCCAAGAAGGCCCGTAGACGGCCCACGGGGGCTCCAAGACGGCCCGAGAGAGCTTCAAATGACCCCCAAGTCAGCCCCAAACGGGCCCCAGATCCTGCCCGAGCGGGCCCACAGCGACTTCCGAGACGGCCCGAGACCCCCAAGATGGCCCCAAGACCTCCCTGCGCGGCCCCCGACAGAGGCCCGCAAACGTGTTCCCCTCACTTTGACAATGCCCGAATAACCAGGTGTTTTTACTAATCGCCCCCAGGCCCGGCGCGATTAGCAAAAACCCATTCCTTTTCACGCTTCCAGGTCAGTGCCAGACGTGGCCCCGGAAACGTCGGCCCCACACGTGGCCCCCAAACGGGACCCCCAAAGGCGGCCCCCACATAAAGCCTCCGAAGGTCGCCCCTATCGCCCAGTAAGCGTGGCCCCCGAATGTCGCCCCAGGCGCCCCCAAACCTGGCCTCCACACATAGCCCGCAGGCGCCCCCAAACCTGGTCCCCACACATGGCCCCCAACCATTATTGCCCTCACACGTGACCACACATCTGCCTCCGAAGGCCGCCCCTGCCGCCCGCCCCAGGGACGCCCGAGCTGTTCAACTTCGACGAGCTGGTCGCCTATGGCGTGCGAGTCCAAGGCTCAGCACGCCGTGGATTTAACCCACGGGTTCACACTAATCTGTACTACAATTCCGGGCGAAGCGCTTGCGAAAAGGTCAAGCAGTGGCAGCGCCCCGGGCCGCCCAGAGAGCTCGCGGGCCGCCGGGAGAGCCTCCGGGCCGCTGCCCGACAGGCCCAGAAGCCCCCCGGACCGCTCGCGGACTGATCCAGGATTCCAAGATCGCTCCAATACAGCCTCAGGAGGTCCCGAAGACGGCCCAAGACGGTCCAAGAGTGTATCCGAGACGCTTAAGATGGCTTCGAGACGCCTTCAAGACGGCCCGAGACGCCTCCACGAGGCCCCCACAGCGCTCGACAAGCACCTCCAAGAGGGGCCGCAGAAGCAAAAATCGTTGATTTTCTATGTTTTTGTTTTAATGCTTCTGGCCTTCTCGCTTTTTCGGCTTTTCGACGCTCCACGGCCGCCCAAGAGGCCCCCAAGACCGTTCCCAGACGGCCCAAGAGGCCTTCAAGACGGCCCCAAGACGGCCCAAGAGGGCCCCAAGACGTCCCAAGAGTCGCCCAAGACGGCCCAAGAGGGCCCCAAGAAGGCCCCAAGAGAGGCCCCAGACGGACCCGGAACCGAAAAATCGAGGCCTCCACCCCAAGAGGCCCCAAGGAAACGCCGGGACGCTCCCAAGACATCCCCAGGAGGCCCCAGGACGCCCCACAGAGGCTCCAAGAGGCCCCCCAGAGGCCCCACAGGGGCTCCAAGAGGCCCCCCAGAGGCCGCCAAGCACCCCAAAAGGCCCCCAAGGAGCCCCAAAAGAGGGCCCAAGAGGCCCCAAGACGCCCCAAAACTGCTACCAAGAAGCCCCCAAACTGTCTCCCAGAGGCTCCCGAGAGGCCAACCACGAGATCCCAACCAACATCCAAGAGATGTGTTTCCCATTCCCCAGGCCCGCGGCGAGATTGCCCGCAGGCCACTACAGCGGGTTCGGGGGCCCTACGTATACCAGCACCGGCACCCTCGGCTGTATCGGAGGCCTCACCGCTGCTCTCTCGGTTCTGCTGGCTTCGACCTGCCAGAGCTCTGAGCCGCTCCCCGACGGCCCCAGGACGCCCCTGGAGCGCTCCCCGACCGGACCCCCACATCGCTCCAAGACGGCCCCAAAGACGCCCAAGAGAGCCGAAGCCGATCCGGCCAGAGCCCGACGGCCGCCCACGGGAGCCCAACGCGAGGTCCGAGGTCTCAAAAAGCATAGGGTTTTTGCTAATCGCGCCCGGCCTCTCCGCGATTAGCGAAAATCCGAAGGTTCTGGCCATTCCACTGCGCCAGGATTGGCCCCCACACGTACCCCAAGGCCTTGGACACCGCCCAAGACGATCTGAGTTCCCCGAGGTTTCGGCCCCCCGGGGCCCTGCGTCGACCCCTCGCCCATTCAGGGCTCCGGTCAGGACGACAACCTAGCCCAAGTGGGCTAACACCTGGAGTGTTCGAGCACGGGTTCTCGTCACGTTCTCAGATTCTGTCCGACGACGAGTTGTCGGGTTCCCCTGGTGAATTATCCAGTTTCGCCCGCCCAGGGCCTCGCCCAGGCTTCGGCGACACGTGCGAGTTCGGGACCCACGCCTGGACCTGCGGGCCGTGGATTTTCCACGGGTTCACACTAGTCTGCTACAGCGCTGGAATCAGCGCGTGCGAGAAGGGGGAGCAGTGGCAGCGGGCGCTGGCGCTGCTGAGCGAGATGCGGGAGGCGAAGCTGGAGGCCAACGTCATCAGCTACAACGCTGGGATCAGCGCGTGCGAGACGGGCGAGCAGTGGCAGCGGGCGCTGGCGCTGCTGAGCGAGATGTGGGAGGCGAAGCTGGAGCCCGACGTCATCTACATTACAACGCAGGGACACGTGCGTGCGGGAAGTGCGGGCGCTGGCGGGGCGTAACCGGCCCCCCTGGTCGCCCCACGACGGCCCGAGACGCACTAGAGCGCCCAAGACGGCCCAAGAGGGCCTTCGACTAGGTCCCACAGCGCTCCGAAGCGCCGAACGGCCCCGAATAGGTCCATAGCGCCTCTCCGAGCCACCATGGGTCCACAGGATGCCCTGAGTGCCCCAGGCGTGCCATCAACGGCTTCTCCGAGGTCCCAGGTGGGCTCCAGGGTTCTGGCGAGACGTCTTTCATCAACCTGCGCTTTGGCGCTCACTCTGGAGTTCTTGATTTCATTTCTGCGGTGTTTCGTCTCTACCCTGGCGCGGCCACACCCACGGAAAATGAACCCAGACTTTGAGGTTTATTATCCAACACCCTGGGGCGGAGCAATTAATCCTCTCCCAGGACGTTCGTCGGCTCGGAAGAATGCCAGTATCAACTCTGAAGGTTTACCCCCAGGCTCCTGATGGGGCACAGACGTCTCGCACGGATCGTTCGTGGATCAACGACGCCCACAAAAAAGGACTCCGTAACCTCGGATGCCATTCTCCAGGGTCCTGCGGTCGGCCGAGAAAACGCCCCCCAAGACCATCCCTCGGCCCGCCACGTCGACGGAAAATCAACACCACGCTCGAGGTTTATTCTCCGAGGTCCCAGGCGGGCTCCAGGGTTCTGGCGAGACGTCCTTCGCAAACCTGCGCTTCGGTGCTTACTCTGTGGTTCTGGGTTCCGTTTCTGCGGAGATGGAGGGTGGAGGAGAAACCAGTGCTGTGTCAGAGAAGGGCGGGCAGCGTTTCCAGCCTCCAGCTCGGCGCACCCCGCACCCGGCTCGTGGCTGCATACGGAGCGCTGCCCGTCTCCGAGGGTGCGGGCGCAAGGGCGCGAAGGTTACCGGGCCTCGCGCGGCGCAGCGCCGCGAGGTGTTTGGGTGGCACAGGATCTGGGCGTGCTTCCGAGAGGCGGCCCAGGCGATGGACGCAGAGAGGATGCCAGCCTCTGCCCAGGCTCGGGCCAGACGAAATCGGCAGAGGCCGAGTTCACACACAGACAGTTCGCCTTCAGCAGGGCTCCTCGCCGCCACGGCTGGACGCAGCAGGCAACACTGGTGCGCTTCGACAGGGGGGGGGGCCAGGCGCAGATTCTGACAGCTCCGCATGGGGCTCTTCGGTCTTCCTGACGCTTGCTCGGCGCTCCCTGCCAGATTTGGCCCACAATGCATTTTACTTTTGGTCGTTCACGAGCCTTCTCCCGGGCCTCTTGGGGCCCTGACGTGTCTCGCTCCTGCAGCCTTCCTGGGGGCCTCTTGGACGGAGTCCATGGGTCAGTCCTACCGACTTCGCCAGCCTTCTTCCGGTGTCCACAACCCACGACGACGACAACCACCACCACGACAACGACGCCGTCTACGACGGATACGACGGCGGCCTCGCAGCGGCGACGACAACAACGCCGACGATGACGGCGACGACGGCGGCCCCGCGACGGCCAAGCTGCTGGAGCGCTGCTAGAGCTCGGACACGTAGGCGCGGTCTTGCTGCCCCCGCCCCGGCCGCCGCCGTGCTTACTAGGTTTTCCGCAAATCTCCACTGTTCCCCCGAGAACCATTCCAGAAAGATGTCGTGGACGGAGTCCACGGGTCAGCCCTAGTCAGCTACAGCGCTGGGATCAGCGCGTGCGAGAAAGGCGAGCAGTGGCAGCGGGCGCTGGCGCTGCTGAGCGGGATGCGGGAGGCGAAGCTGGAGCCCGACGTCATCAGCTACAGCGCTGGGATCAGCGCGTGCGAGGAAGGCGGGCAGTGGCAGCGGGCGCTGGCGCTGCTCAGCGAGATGCGGGAGGCGAAGCTGGAGCCCGTTGTCATCAGTTACACCGCTGGGATCAGCGCGTGCGAGGAAGGCGGGCAGTGGCAGCGGGCGCTGGCGCTGCTGAGCGAGATGCGGGAGGCGAAGCTGGAGCCCAACGTCGTCAGCTACAGCGCTGGGATCAGCGCGTGCGAGACGGGCGGGCAGTGGCAGCGGGCGCTTGCGCTGCTGAGCGAGATGCGGGAGGCGAAGATGGAGCCCAACGTCATCTATACTACAATGCCGGGGGCCGTGCGTGCCATAATGCCGCAGGATCAGTGAAGTCAAAACCGCCCCAGGCTGGCCCCGGGCCGCCCAGGGACGCCCAGGGAGGCTCCTCCGACACACGCCAAGAGGGCCCCAAGAGGCCCAAAACGGCCCGAGAGGTCTCCAAGGTGCTCCATGAGACTTTCCCAGAGGGCCCCGAGCAAGAAAAAAACATAGATTGTAATGGCCTCCGGCCAGTGCCGCCGATCCGGGGGGCTGCGGATTGAGTAATTTTCTCGGCTTGGCTTCCTCCCTCCTCGATTATTCCGGGGTCTTCTTTTTTTTCGACGACGACGGCGACGGCGGCGGCGGCGGCGGCCGCGGCGGTGGCGCCGGCCGTGCCTCCGCTCGCCGGCCGCACCTCCGCCCGAGGCGAGCGAGGAGGGAAGAGAGATGATGATGATGATGATGATGATGATGATGATGAGGAGGAGGAGGAGGAGGAGGAGGAGGAGGAGGAGGAGGAGGAGGAGGAGGAGGAGGAGGAGGAGGAGGAGGAGGAGGAGGAGGAGGAGGAGGAGGAGGAGGGAGGACGAGGTGGACGAGGAGGTTGAGGAATATCAGGAAGCGGCGGAAAAACCAGAGAAGAGTCCCGCGATCCCGGGGTCGTCGGGGACGCTTTTGTGATCTGACGTGCCTTCTGAAAAGGTGCCTGGAGCGGTCCCGGGGGGGATCCGACGAGGGTTCCCAGGGGAATGTCTTGGGGGTGGGAGGGGGGAAGGAGGAGAAGAGGAGGAGGAGGAGGAGGACGACGGCGACGAGGACGACGAGGACGACGACGACGACGAAGACGACGACGACGACGACGACGACGACGGCGGCGGCGGCGGCAGCGGCTGCGGCGGCGGCGGCGGCGCCGGCCGAGCCTCCGCTCGCCAGCCGTGCCTTCGCCCGACGCGCGCGAAAAGGGGCGACAAAGGAGGAGGACGAGGAGGAGGCGCAGGAGGGAGAACGAGGAGGATGAGGACGAGGAGAAGGAGGAATATGAGGAAACCGCGGAAAACAAACAAGAGGAACCACGCGGTTCCCGGGTGGCCAGATACGCTTTTGGGATCTGACGTGCCTTCTGGGGGGGTGCCTCAAGCGGTCCCGGGGGTGGGTCCAGAGAGGGTTCCGAGGGGAGGGTCTTGGTGGCGGAAAGGGTTCGATTTGAGGGAGGTCCCTGGGACGCCCCGAAACATAGTGGGGATGCGCAAATCATTCAGAGAACGCCAGACGGGGGACCGCCCCCCAAACGGGGTCCGTGGAGGGTTGCGACGGGACTGCCTTGGGGCGGTAACGGCTAGATCTGACGGGGGTTCCTTGGACCCGGAAACATTGAGGGGGATGCGCAAATCATCAAAACGCCAGATGAGGGACCGCCCCCTCCTCTCCCCCCCCTTCCGGGGCAGAGGCGCCCCGGCGATCATGGGACGCCCGGAAACATTTGGTAGATGCGCACACCAAGGGGACAAAGCCAGGTGGAAGACCGCCCCATCCCCCCCCCGCCCTTCCCCGGCAGAGCCACCTCGTCGACCCTGGGACCCTCCGGCACATCTGGGGGATGCGCAAATCATAAGGACACCGCCAGATAGGGGACGGCCGCGCCCCCCCCGCCCTCGGCAGAACCACCCCGGCGACCCTGGGACCCCCCGAAACATCTGGGGGATGCGCAGATCCTATAGAAAACGCCAGATGAAGGACACCCCCTACCCCTCACCCGCTTTCCCGACAGAGCCACCCCAGCGACCGCGGGACTCCTTCAAACATTTGGGAGATGCGCAAATCCAGCAGAAATCGCCAGATGAACAACCCCCCCCCCCTCCCCCACTTCCCCGGCAGAGCCACCCCGGCGACCCTGGGGCCCTCAAAAACATCCCGGGGATGCGCAAATCTTGCAGAAAACGCCAGATGGCGACCCCCCCCTCACCCCCCGTTTCCCCGGCAAGACAACCCCGCCTACTTTCCCCCGAAACGTTTGGGGGATACGCGAATCATACAGAAAATGCTCGAAGGAGGCATCCCCCCCTTCCCCAGCAGAGCCACCCCGGCGACCGTGGGGCCCCGCGAAACATTGAGGGGATGCGCAAATCATGCACAAATCCCCGGATTGAGCCCCCCCCCTTTCCGATTCTTCGGCAGAGCCACCCCGTCGACCTTGCGACCCCCCCCCAAAAATCATGAAGAATACGCTATATGGCTGGCATCCCCCCAATCCCCCCTTCCCCTCATAGACGGATTAACCAGGGTTCAGTAACCAGGTGTGAGATATGTAAAGATGTTGTTGAAACTTGCAGGTGGTTATGCACCTCTCGTGATATTGCATGGTATTTCTGAGTTGACCAACCAACAAGTAAACGCAAACCTAGTCGCCCTCCTCCTTCTTCTTTGCCTATTTCCCCGTTCACCCTCCCTTCCGCCTCCTCATTTATCCCACTCTCTTCCCACCCCCTCGCCCCCTCTTCAGTTCCCCCCGTCGTGTTCCTCCTCCTCCTCGCCGGCGTCGCGACTGCGCAGGCTTGTGATTGGGGCTGCGCAGTCACTCAGTGCAGGGGGGGGGAGGAAAGGTGGAGGGAAGGGGAGGGAAGGGCAGATGAGGCTGACGGGCAGGAGGAGGAAGCGGAGGGGAGCAACGGGGGCGGAGGGGAGCGGAAAGAGTGGAAGGTTAATTGGGTGAGATTTTCCGTCTGTGCTGCGACTGCATTAACAATCTGTCTGCGCCACAGGAGCTTTGAGCGCTCTTCGCCACTACAATATATTTGCTGTCTTCTTCGAATGAGACGAGCGACTCCCCAGTAAAATGCAGCTCGTCGGGCGGCACGTGGGCGCAATCTTGTCAGGGTAGCCGCATGCTGCAGAGGCTGTCTCCAGTTGCGCGGTCAAACCCGACAGGGAGTAGGAAGGCGAGGGGGGGGGGGGGGCGTGGATGGGGGGGGTGGCCTTGATCCAAACATAATGCAGGATAGGCCCGTGGCCCCCTGGGCGTTCACAACATGTTCCGCCTCTTCATTTCTCACCTGATATCTCCCCCCCCCTCCCGATGCTTCTTCTCTGCTTTGAAATGTCGCATGTAGGATTCGAAGGGGCTGGCCTCCGCGATTGAATTATTGACGCGTCGCGTATCCCCACCAGCCCATCCAGAAACGATCGCCAGGTGGGTCGGTCATTTCCAGGACATAATGTTGTGAGAGGTTATTGTAAGACTCTTTGGAGCATACTGGGGTCATCTGAGGGCTCTCTTGGGGTACCCTTGGATCCTTCTTGGGGCTCTCTTGGGGCTCTTTTTGGGGGGTATTGGGGGCCTTTTCGGATTTTTTTTTGTTGGGGAGGGGGGCGAGGCCTCGCGGGGATTTGTTGGGGCCCATCGCTCAAAGAGGGGTAATGGAATGGGGTCGCCCCCATCGGAGGCCCCAACATGCCGTCTTTGGGCCGCCTTGGGCCGATCTTGGAACGTTATTGGGCGCTCTTGGGGCCGTCTTGGGGCCTTCTTGGGCCCCCATTGGGGCCCCCCCCTTGGGGCTGCCTTGCGCAGTCTCGG